GTCAGCAGTTCAAACCCACCAGCTGCCTCTTGGAAACCCTATACAGGGTCACTAGGAGTCGGAAACAACTGGGCAGCACTTAACAACAACCAGCAAGGATGTCTACAATCAAACAGATAGATAATAACAAATGTTGACGAAAATGGAGAGAAAAGTGAATTCTCACGTTGCTGGTAGAAATGCAAAATGATGCAGCAGCTTTGGAAAACTGATGATAGTTCCTTAAAAGGTTAAACACAGAGTTACATTGTTGTTTTTAAGTGCAGTGGAGTTGGTTCTGACATGATCATAATGATCCCATATAGGCTTTCCAAGGAGTAACTGGTGGGTTTGAACCACCGAGCTTGCAGTTAGCAATGCAGTGCTTTATTTTTTACAGTACCACAAGGTCTCCGGAGTTATTATATAACCCAGCAATTCCACTACTAGGTATACACTCAAGAGAAATGAAAGAAATTCCACACAAAACACTTTTACACTAATGTTCACAGCATTAGTGTAAAATATATATTATTGTAGCCCAAAAGTGAAACAAACTAAATGACCAACAACTGATGTTTAGATAAACAAACTGTGGTATGTACATACAATGGGAGATCATTCAGCCATAAAAAGGACTGGAGTACTAATCATGGATGGATCTTAAAAACATACTACATGAAAGAAATCAATCACAAAAGGTCATATATTGTATGATTCCATTAATAAAAATGTTCGCAATAGGCAAAGCCTATTATCAAGAAGCACACAGAAACGTAGATTAGTGGTTGCCGGGGTAGATAATGATTGTTAACGAAAATGAGTTTCTTTTTAGGGTGATGAAAATGTTCTGGAGTGGATAGCTGGGGAAGCTTTCATAGCTTTGTGAATAGGTGAAAAACCTCTGAATTACATACTCTGAGAGGGAAATTTTACAGCATGTGAGTTATAGCTCAAGAAAAATTAACAGTTAGCCACAGAGACAATGATGTGGAGAGATGGAGTGGCTAGGGACTCTAGACCCAGAGACAGAGAGGGGCTGTGTGCTGATGACTGGGGGGCAGGCTTGCATGGTATACCCTTTGGTTGGTTGATGATGCATGGAGGGGATTGTAACCATGGCAGTAAAATGATATGATAGGATGAATGTAAAGCTAATGTTCTCCCATGTAAACTATCACATAATTCACAATAAAACATTAAAAAAAAAAATTTTAACAGTTAAAAAAATAATTCCACACCACAAGCAAACCAGGCTCCCTGAATTAACCTCATCCAATGCCAGCCCCACAAGAGGTAGAGTACATGTAGAACCATTTCGGAAAGAACACCGATGGGGCAAAGGTTAACAGAAACATCTAAAGCTCCCAGCCTGTAGAAAAGGCTGACAAATCTTCTGTTGTTGTTAAGAGCCACTGAGTTGATTCCGACTCATAACGACTGTGTATAGAGTTTCCAAAGAGCAACTGGTGGGTTTGAATTGCTGACCTTGCAGCCAGCAGTCGAGTGCTTATTGATAATGCAGAACCACACCAGGACTCAACAACTATTTTATTTATCTATTCATTCAAGTCAATTTCAATATCTAATTCAGTGGTTCTCAACAGTGCAATTTTGCCTCTCAGGGAGATATCAGACAATCTCTGAGGTCATAATTTTGGTTTTCTGACTGGGTTGGGGGTACTACTGCCCTAGTGGGTAGAAGCCAGAGATGCTGCTAAACATTCTTTAATGCACAGGATGTTGTTGTCAAGTCAGTTCCAATCCATAGTGACCCTGTATACGGTTTTCAAGGAGCAGCTGGTGAACTTGAACTGCCAACCTTGCGGTTCACACTGACTTTGCAGTCCAGTGCATTAACTCTCATTGCCACACCAGGATATATGCACAGCATAGAACCCCACAAGGAATTACCCAGCCTATAATGTGAATAGTGCTGAAGTTGAGAAATCCTGACTTAATTTAATGATGGACTGGTCACTTTTTAAAATTTTTGCATTTTTCATAATTCATATGCCTACTTAAAACAGTAACCTCAAATATATCCAAACTGTTCTAAGCAGTAGATTAAATGTAAACCAAACCCACTACCATCAAGTCTACTTCACTTCCATAGATTATAAATCTTTATGGGAGCAGACAGTCTCATAGTTCTCTGTGGAGCAGCTGGTGGGTTTGAACCACTTATCTTGTGGTTGCTGTTATGTGACATGGAGTCGATTCTGACTCATAGCGACCCTGTGCAGGGTTTCCAAGGCCGTAAATCTTTATGGGAGCAGAAAGCCTCATTTTTCTCCCGTGGAACAGCTGGTAGTTTCAAACTGCTGACCTTGCGGTTCACAGTCCGATTTGTAACCACTACACTACCAGAGCTCCTTATGGTTAGCAGGCCAATAATCATCCCTGGGCCCACTGCAGTCAAACCTCTCTTAGAAAAACAGTTCAGGTCTTTCCATGCTCACAGCTGGGCAAACCTGAGGCAGCCACGGAGACTTTCTCTCCTCAAAGAGCCAGTTCCTAAGTAATGAATTACACTTTCAAAGGGACACTTACCAAGTTTCATCTTAATCTGCGAATCAAACCTTTCTTAAAATTCAGTATTCCTTAAAACATTAACCAGTAAAGGAGTTCTGGTGTGGCCCTCCAGATTAATGAGCTGGACTGCAAAGTTGGTTTGAACCACAAGGTCAATTTGAACAAGGTTGGCAGTTAAAGCTCATCAGCGCTCCTCGGAAACACTGTACAGGGTCACAAGGAGTTGAAACCAACTCAATGGCACTTAACAATGACAACAAGGGACATCTGAAAGATCTGAGTAAGGAATGTAAACTTTTTTTTCTCATTTAAGGAAAGAAAATATTTTACAGATGTTTAAAATAAAGCTATTGCTGTCTGCCACTACTTTTCCTGGTTCTAGTAATGCTCTAAGAAAGGGTTAGATGTGTATTTTAAACACAAAGACCTTAACTCACAGGTCCTTTCCTAAAGTTGAGCCTCGGAAGGGAGTGGAATTCTCTCCTATAGTTATCGCATAAAGAGAAGACAACTAATTGTCAATTATCTGAAAATCCTTCATCCAGAAATAACTTTTCCCACCCCTTTGGTATAGGAGGCCTGGTGGCACAGCAGTTAAACACTTGGCTAATAACAAGCTAGTAACTGGAAGTTTGGTAGTTTGAACCTACCAGGTGTTTCAGGGGCAAAAGATGTGGCAGTCTGCTTCTGTAAAGATTGTTGTTAAGTACCATCGAGTCAGTTCCAATCCATAGCGACCTACATAGGGTTTCCAAGGAGGGGCTGGTGAATTTGAACGGGTGACCTTGTGGTTCAGTGTATTACAGCCTGAGAAACCATATGGGGCAGTCCTATTTTGTCCTATAGGATCAATATGAGTTGGAATCGACTTAATGGCAGGTTAGATAACTTTGGTGTGGAACATTCTATAATTTTATGAGGCAAGCATATTCATATAAACATTTTTTAGAATAGGACCATATTCGACATGTGGTTTTATGATTCGTCTTTTCCATATAGTAATGCATGGATTTCCCCACAGCTACACTGGCATTCTCCTGACAGCATGATATGCAATTGAAGGATAATGCGCTGGACTGCAATGTCAGTTTGAACCGCAAGGTCAGGGGTTCAAACCCACCAACCGCTCCTTAGAAACCCTACACAGGGTTGCTATGAGTCAGAACAAGAAAACCCTTCTTAAAAAAAAACAACAAAACTTCCTCCTATTGGACATCTGGATTGCCTTCAGCATATTACTACTGGAAACAATTCTGGGATGACTATTTTTGTACCTCTTTCCTTTTGGCAGTTGTCTGATTTTATTTCATTTCATTTCACACTTGACAAATTGCCATTGATGTTTCCTGACAAAATCACTTTGCTATCAGTTACCTATGAAAGTTGTCTCTCTACCTAGAAGGCAGTGCAGAGTCACTCTATGAAACTCACTCCCCTTGGAGGAAAGGCTCTGGCCTCAGTACTCAGGCAGTGGGAAGTCTGACTACATGCCCCTAGATGGCAATATTCTGCCACCAAGACTGATCCCATCCCTTAAGTCTCAGGTTGCAAACCAACAACTCAATAGCAATCTTCGATGTCGGGTGTAAGCTCTGTTTCTAACTCATCCGGAATCTAGCTCTGTCCATTTGTAGAGAAACCTAGTTGTCACAGATGGAACTGTGTTCCCTCAAAGTATGTGTCAACTTGGCTGGGTCATGATTCTCAGTTCTGTGGCAGTTATGTAATGACACAATGTGGCAGTTGTGTGATAACTCCCAGAGATGTGACCTACATGCGATAAACAGAGGTTTAAGGGTGGGCTGCAATACCCTTAATCCCATCACAACTCTGATTCAGTGTAGGGGAGTTTCCCAGGTATGTGGCCCAACATCTTTTACCTTACAAGAGATAAAAGGAGACAAAATGAGTAGCGAAATGGGGACCTACTGCTACCCAGAAAGAGCTGGGTAGAGTGCATCCTTTGGACCTGGGGTCCCTTTACTGTGAAGCTCCTACATTTAGGGGACGAATGATGCAGGGAGAGCTCCAAGGAATGTGGGGCCTACAGATGTTTCAAGGAAACAAGTAGCTTTCCTTAGAACCAACAGAGTGAGAAACAAGCCTTCCTCCCCTAGAGTCAGCACTCTGAACGTGGCCTTCTAGCCTCTTAAGTGGTGAGAGAATAAATTTTGGTTTGTTAAAGTCATCAACCTGGGGTATTTGTTATAGCACCACTGGTTTAAATACCTACAAACCGTTTTTTGCTAAACAAATGTTTTGCTTTGTGATGAAGGAAAACCTCTGTGTGGCCATATTGAAGGCAAACGTATGGAGGAACATCCTGTCCCCAACCTGAGTGATGCTCCTCCATCTTGAAACATCAGGGTCAAACTCCAGCCTACTTCTCCTCAAAGCTGAGGTCTACATTGGTTTGCTAGCTTGTATTTTGGAGGGTGAGGGGGTGGGTTTGCAGATAAAGGAGAAAACTCCACAGCAGAACTTACATAGAAGTGAAAATGCAAGAAATGGGCCAGCACTCTGGGGGCCACACTGGGGAAGGTGGCCAGGAGTGTCTGGAGGTAGACCTCCAGATCCTTCTCCCTCTTCTCCACCAAGCTTCTTGAGTTTTTCCCAATGATCTTTTTGGGTGGTAGCAGATTTTTATCAATCTTCCTCTCTGCAACAAGCTGTAAGAAAACATAAGACCGTCAACCACAGGCCAAGAGGCTCTGGGTCTGTGCAAGACTTTGGCACACAGTCTTGCACAACTTCCACAGTCCTTCTCAGCAGCACGACTGGGCCCAGTGATCAAACTGAGCATCTGGAATTTGGTTCCTTCAAAATTCAATTAGCATTAGACATACCAACAAAATTCCAGATGAAGGGCTCCATCTAGAAATTCTGGAGACATCTTGAAAAGTTAACACCTCAGAGTCCCTAAAATCACCATCTTCCAAACTACCAAGGAAAACCAGTGAGGGTGGTAGCTTGTCTTTAAGACTCATGCTATAAAGGACCCAGAGAAAGGCAGCTCTCCCCAAAATCAAAATCACAGCCAGATATTAAAGTGCAGGCTCAGGAACAGCTCTAGTTAGATGGGACAAGTTCAAACCTGTCTCTTCCCTGGGGAACTGCCCTGGCATCTCACACCCAAGTAGGATTGGCAATCTGAAAAATGAAGTTCAAACATGCTTCCCATACACTGAGATCTCCTCAGATCCACCAGCTCTTTTGCCAATAAATTGGTTTATTAAAGAAATAAACTACAGGCACAGAGCCTGTTTTATCCCAAAACTACTGTGTGGCACAATGGAAACTTGGCCCAAAAGGCCCCAAGTCCTAGAGATACAGGCCCCTGGCTCCTAAGGGTTACCTTTTCGTGCAGGTCATGGAAATTGCTATAACGGTGCTTGACTGTCCACTCGTGGTTGCCATCAGTGACCTGGATGATATAAACCTAAAATGGAAAACCAACAGCCCTTGTAACAGGGAGCCAACCAGCTGCAAGGACCTTTCCCTCCCCTCTGCACCTGAACCTTGCTGAGCAGCAATGTCTCCTCTCAGACTCCCCCTACAGAGCCCTAGCCCTGGCGTTGGCAGGCACATGGACAAGCCTGTGGCTCTGTCCATCAGTGAGGAATGGTAAAGGTGACTCCATCTTGGCCAGCTACCTTTCACCTCTTGTCTCTAGGTAACTCAAAGCTCAATCCAAGTTGAGTTTCAGGCAAGACCGCCCCTTCTAAAGGAGGAAGAGCATGGCCAGGTCTGGCAGAGCTAGCTTTTCTGCTGCACTTACTTCCAGGGACCCTAACTATATTCTGTAAGCAATTTTCCCCCCCAACTTTTTAAACTGGTTCATGGCTGTGGTTTATGTTGCTGACTCAGGAGTCTGGGCAATAAGAAGCTGATATGGGGAGGTAGTGATGGGGCCTGAAGCTCTAACAGTGGTAGAAGTGACTTAGTGATTAAGGACATGAGCTTTGGAGTCAAGGAAGACGGGGGGCTCCAAATCTGGTTCTGCCATTTCCTAGCGGTTGGGAGGTAAGCAAGAGACTTAACCTCTCGGAGCCTCAGTTTTCCTCATTTAAAATTTGTTAGGTGTAAGGATCAAATGGTTTCCCTGGGCTAGCCACAAGGCTGGGGGTATTCATCTACCCAGAGGTGTCTCAGAAGAATGGATCTGCTGAAAAATCACTCACTGAAAACCCTGTGAAGCCCAGTTCTAATGACATGGGGCGGCCAGGAGTCAGAATCAGCTGGATGGCAACTAGTCAAAGGATCAAACAGGGTGCTGCATGTGAGTGCCTTGTGCAGGGTCTGACATGTAGCAGGGGTTCAGGCACACAAAAACAGGTTAATAATATCCAGCTCAGCACACCCAGTGACAGGTGAGGTAGGGTCAGCCTGCATCACTACTTTCCTCCACACTCATCCAGAGGAACCACTCAATGTCACCAGAACATAGGCTGATGGGCCCAAGAGATTTTGGAGCTGACCCTCCAGGCTGTCAACCATCAGCTCAGAGACCTTACCCATCACACCTCACCTGGAGCAGGCCTCCAGGTCCTAGTTTCCACCCCTCTCTGCAGCAGGGAAGGGGGAGGAGAAATAACAGCTCAGCTGAAGCCTCCAGCAGGGAGGAGCAGCCATTTCTCCAGGGCTGGAGCCTGTTGCTCAAGGATCCGCCCCCAGCCCCTCTTCCCTTTGCCTGCCTTCAAGAAAGCTGAAAGAGCCCAAAGAATGCCCCCCAGGAGGGGGTTAGGATTGGGCAAGGCAAAGATGAGAAGGCAGGGTCCAGTGCCCCCACCCACTCCTCACCCTCTGGGAACAAAGGACAGGAGGCTGAGAGGTGCTTAGTGCGTACCCACCCCAAGACCAGACCCAGTCAACCTACCAGGCCTACATACCCAAGGAATTACATCTCTGTCTGGAACCCCCCATTTTTCGTCCTCCACCTCACCCATAGCCTTGAATTGTGTGTGTGTGTTCACGCGCCCAAGCCCGCCCTAAGATGCCTGGCTCACTACCTTCCTCTCACAGCAGCTCAAAGGGTCCTTTGCTTCATCACTGAGTCTCAATTCCCATTTCAGGACCCAACCCTCCCCCATTCTCATCTCCGCTCAACCGCAGGGCTTCGAACACCCAGATTCCTCTTTACATCTCATCACAGATCTCAACCCCCATCCTAGACTCCACAGCTCAAGGACCCGCCCCCCTTCTTTAAGACCTGCAGTGATCAGACCCCTTCGGCAGATTACCCTAACCAGACACTCCCCGGCCCAGTTCCTTTCCTGCCGGAATCCCTATCACCGCAGTCGAGGCTGGTGCTCCCCTTCAGCTCTGAAAGCTCTAGGAGGGCCTCCGCCCTATTCTGGGGCCCCTCCCCAGGATTCCCCAAACCCGAGCCTCATTTTCCAATCGTGTATCCCTTTTCCAAACCTCCCGGGGTATCGCCCCACTACCCCCCTTCCGGATGAGTGGGGTCCAAACCCCCTTCCCCAGACTGCCCGATCCCGAACCCCCTCCACGCAATTGCAGATCCTTCTATCCTTTCCTTCCTGCCCTGTGGGGCCCGGCTCTTCTCCTCAGTGCCCCCGACTCCGGGTTCTAGACATCACCCCCCGTTCGGGTGCCCCGGCCCCCAGCACCGTGTAAGTGTCCACGAGCTCGGAGCCCACGACGCGCGCTTGCTTGACCGGCTCGGCCTCCCGCTCGGGCCCGAAGCTGCGCGTTGCCGCCATGTTTCAGGTTCCACAGCCGCCGCCGCCCGGTGCAGACTGGCAGCAGCAGCAGGGGGCGGGGTCAGCGCCCCACCGCCCCCCGGCGCCCACCGCCCCCCGCCCGGGCCGAACGCAGCGCCGCCATCTTGGCCCCACCGCCTTCTGTCTCTTCGCCCCGCCCCGGTCCGGCTCCGCCCTGCTCTGCTCCTCCCGCAGCCTCAAACTGTGCGCGTGCGCACATTGCTCAGGCAGTTCGATTGCGTAATCTGTACCCGGGTGGCACCGCCCATCCAGATCTGCGCTCTTCCTAAGGCTATGAGGGAAACTGAGGCCGGGGCCGAGGGTACGTCTGAGCGCCGTCCCTCAGCCCAGGGCGAAGGAGGACACAAGGTTCCGTGACTTCCATGCTAATCGTATCAAGTCACTGCGCCTCCTAGCTTCAGTTTCCCCTTCTGGGAAGGCAATAATCGCATCTCTTCTGGTTATTGGGCTCATTGCTTGAGAGAATTAGAGCAAGCGCCGGTTCAGGCTAGACACTAGCATGTTGTTGTTAAGTGTCGTGGAGTCGGTTCCGATTCATAGCGACTCTGTACAGGGTTTCCGAGGCTGTAAATCTTTACGGGAGCAGAAAGCCTCATCTTTCTCCCCCCGGACAGCTGGTAGTTTCGAACTGCTGATCTTGCAAATGGCAACGCTACCAGATCTTGCAATTGGTAACCACTACGCTACCAGAGCTCCTTAGACACTCGCATAGAGCCTGAGAAGGGGCAGGGTGACTCTAGGCGAGTTCTAAACGTCTCCAAGACTCATTGACGTCTCTGTCTCTCCTCCCATCTCGGGAGAATTGAGTGGGCTAATCCAAGCAGTTTCTGGCATGAAAGTATGGGATGCAGAAACAGGGTTCTTTGAATGAAGGCCGGGAGGGGGAGAATGAGGGGAAGATATGTGCTGGTCGTTGGGCAAAAGACACTCAGGTGACCTGCTAAAAAAACGAGAGGGTAGACTGACTGGTCCGGGCTCCAGGAGTTTCATTGCTGTAATGGGAGAGATCAGACTCAGAGAAACAGCCCTAACCCAGGGGAAGACAGACCTGGAAGAAGAAGGCATCAACCCATCTGGAGAGTAAAGAGGGAGCAATCTGGCACAGGTATCTGTGTTTGTTGGTTAACTTTGTGCAGCAGACCCAAGTCCAAAACTGGTACTGCTTTTCCTGGACAGAAGGGAGGTCGGGAGGATCTTCTCTGGTACCACTAGATGAAGCACTTCAGACCAACATGCCCTAAGGGAGGTCAACGCCTCCTTCCTTCACCAGCTTCATAGGACCATACTCTGAGCTTGGCATTCAAGGCTTCTCTTGGCAGGGCCCTGACACTTGCAGATGACACCCTCTGCCTCTCCTTGCATACTGCCTCTACTCCAGTGAGGTCCGGCTTAAGACAGGTGCTGCCTAGTCAATCAGACCTTGGGCAAGTTACCACCACTCCGAGAGCCTCAGTTTCCTTACCTGGAAAATGGGGTTAATAACACTTCCCTAAAGAGCTCTGGTAGCGTAGTAGTTATGAATCGGGCTGTGAGTCACAAGGTCAGCAGTTCAAAACTACCAGCTGTTCCGCGGGAGAAAGATGAGGCTTTCTGCTCCCATAAAGATTTCCAGCCTCGGAAACCCTGTACAGGGTCGCTATGAGTCAGAACCGACTCAACGACACGTAACAACAACAACAAAATTGGTTAAGAGGTTGAGCTAGCTGATGTATGTAACCTCCTAATTTGGGGCCTGCTTCTTAGCAGCTCCTCTCTAGGGCTTATGTTTTCATTCATTCAAGAAACACTGGGGGCATGGCAGGAACCATAGTCTCAGGTGACATCATGGTCAGTTGCCTTAGTTTTGCTGAGTGGTGACTGGAGTCTTAAAAGCTTGTGAGCCACCATCTAGAGTGCAACTATTGGTCTCTCTGTCTGGAGGAAAGAAGAGTGATAAAAATTGAAGACACTTGGACTAATGAATTAATGGACTACAGCAACATTAGTCTCCATGACCCTGAGACCAGAACGAGCTGGTACCTGACTACCACTACCAATGGCTCGGGAATGGACCACATTAGAAGGTCCTGGGTAAAGTGGGGAGGAGACTATGGAACAAACCTGGAAAGTATAAACAAGACCAGGCTTACTGGTTGGAAAAGAGACTGGGAGAACCCACAAGACTATGACCTAGGGTCATCCTTTAGGTCTGGAACTGACCTCATCCTGGTAGTTCAATTTTCAGCTAAGCAACAGATAGGTCTACTATAAGGGGAGCAGCATAGTGGATTACCAGCTGGGCTGCTAATTGCAAAGTCAGCAGTTCGAATCTACTGGTCTATCCCAGGGAGAAAAAGGAGGATTTCTGCTCCTATTAAAATTTTACAGCCTTGGAAATAATACAGGCAGGTTTGCTGTGAATCAGAACCGACTCTGTGTCACACTACCACCACCATTGTTGTTGTTGATCAGTGCAGTCGAGTCAGTTTCTACTTATAGCTACCCTCTATAGGGTTTCCTAGGAGCAGCTGGTAAGTTTGAACTGCTGATCTTTTTAGACCAGTGCTTATCCTATACCACCACACCAGAAGTCCAACACCCTAGGGAAAACACTACAACTAGTGAGGTATGTAGGAGCTCTGGTAGCGTAGTGGTTACGAATCGGGCTGCGAACTTTAAGGTCAGTGGTTCGAAACTACCAGCCGCTCCGCGGGAGAAAGATGAGGCTTTCTACTCCCGTAAGGATTTACACCCTCGGAAACCCTGTACAGGGTCGCTATGGGTCGACTCCGACTCGAAGGCACTTAACAACAACAACAACAGTGAGGTATGTATGTACACCATAGAATGGTCAACCATTCAAGTTCCAAAGGGCAGCAATTACTCAAAGACAAAATTTAGAAGGGTTGGGAAAGAAGGAATGGAAACACGAAACCAGAGAGGCAGAGGAATAAGTGATGTTACATTGAGGGGATTGTAATCAATGAAGTGTGTGTGAGTTATTGAATGTAAAACTGATGCTCTTCTCTGTAAACAATCTAATTCGCAATAAGTCTTTTGTTGTTGTTTTTTCTGAAAAAAAGAAAAAGAAAAACTCTGGGGACTGTGAGGGGTAGAAGAAAAGAGGCCTGGTCCTTGCTGCCCTGGGCAGAGGCCACAGGCACTGAGATCACTGGGCTGAGTTAGGGGCGGGGATGCTGCACACGGGTGGGCTGGGTCCAGCTGGCGGGAATGCAGTGAGGCAGGGCTATATAAGCTGAGGCTGGCTGGCAACCCCAGCAGCCTGCCCTGTGAGCCGCCAGCATGGATGACATCTACAAGGCCGCGGTGAGGTGTTGGGTGGGAGGACCTAATGGAAGCTCACTCAGCTCTCAGTTGGGGATAGGGGCACCATTGCCTCAGGGAGGTGGGGGGACACAAGAGAATGCCAGTGTAACTTCATGCCTCCTCCCTCAGGGCAACAGTCAGTTTAGCTTCATGGCTCTTGTTTCCAAGTGTTTATCCTCTGTGTCACTGTCTCTTGACCAGTGTGTGTCTCTGGAGTGGTGACTTTCTCAGTCTCTCTGTCTCTCCATTCTTGCCAAGCTGTCTCTCTCTGAGTCTCTGTCATTGTCTTCCTGGCCCACCATTTCTGTTCCTCACACTCAGCCTCTCCAGTCCCTAAGTCAGCTGAAGATGTTTTGGACAGTGGGAGGGGGTTGTGAGGAGGGAGCTGAAGAACCCAAATCTTGAGGTGGGACGAGCTTTAAAGTTAGAAGCGGAGAAGGAAGGATTGGGCTTAGAGGAGAGCTCGGAAGAAGGAACAGAGGGCCCCAGGTACCATCTGACCTGGCAGGCTCAGCGCTCAGTGGCTAGCTAGAAGTGAAAATGGGGGTGTGAGGACTGGAGAGAGGTCACCCCCAGTTCCTGCAGCCTCCTGGGGTGGTGACCTCCCACTTGGAGATAAAAACATCTCTGCATAGACAGCTGTCCCTAAGGGAACCCCTCCCTTACTTCCTAGAGCAGGCCTGATCCTGAAGAGGGAGGGGCTGCAGCTGGCTCGGGGGCTCCTGCCCCTGCTTTCCTGCAGGACTCTCTTCAGTTGTGTTGGGGGTAGCCCTACACCGTGTGCCCATAGAAGGCCTGGCGGGGCTGGGGACTAATTTTGGCTCCTGAGGCAGCACCAACAGGCTTGGGGACCAGATAACATTGCCCCACCCCCTGCATGCCAGAGTCTCCAGAACAATCACCAGGTTTAACTTTGTCACCCATTAAAAATAGCCCAGTGTCCACTCCGGGTCAGGTTACAGTGGGTGGCAAAGCCATACTGGTTTTATTGTCCCAACCTGAGGGACAGCTGTCCCTCAGGCCATCTAGCTTGGGTTTCAGCAGGGGTGCTGAAAGACCATTGAGTAGCTGTTGTTACTCAGGGTCACCTTGGCCCTGGAAAGGGTGCCTACCTGTCACCCAGGCCTTGAACTCAGCCTCAGTGACATCAGCCAAGTTACTTTAGCAGACTTTGGGAGGCAGGAAAGGAGTACTGAAGACCCAAGATGAGCCTGTCTCCTCCTGGCTTTAATATTCTCACCTGTGGAATGGGTTGACAGTGACTGCCATCTGAATCTGGCTGATGAGAGATCCTCTTTCTTTTCTAGGTAGAGCAACTGACAGAAGAGCAGAAAAATGGTGAGTGCCCCTGCATACCTGAGGTCCAGCAGGGCTGGGTGGGGGCCCCAGAAAAGGACCCCAAACTGAAGGCCAGAGGTTGGTGCCACCTTACTGTGAGCTCCAGGGCCTTGGAGAGAGGTGGGCAGATTGGCAGGTGGCCCCAGAGATCTGTCTTCTGGTGTCTTGACTGCTGAGACCTGAATTGCTCTGCCCCCGCTGCCCCCCTCTTTGGACACAGAGTTCAAGGCAGCCTTTGACATTTTCGTGCTGGGCGCTGAGGATGGCTGCATCAGCACCAAGGAGCTAGGCAAGGTGATGAGGATGCTGGGCCAGAACCCCACACCAGAGGAGCTGCAGGAGATGATTGATGAGGTGGACGAGGACGGTGAGCCCCTCTGCCCCTCCAGGCCCTCAATTTGTGCATAATTCCAGCTTGCTGAGGGCTCAGATCCTAGCTCTGCGTCTTCTTCTGTGCCACTGAAGGATCACTGTAGTCTCTTTGAGCCTCATTGTCCCATCTGTAAAATGAATGGAATGACTGCAGTCACCTGCCAGAATTGGTGTGAGGCTACAAAGAATGCACTAGGGTTAGTGTCAAGGCTGGTGCTTGTGGTTCTGACTGTCCCCAGGCAGTGGCACAGTGGACTTCGATGAGTTCCTGGTCATGATGGTTCGGTGCATGAAGGATGACAGCAAAGGGAAGTCTGAGGAGGAGCTGTCTGACCTCTTCCGCATGTTTGACAAGTGAGCACATGACTCTTGACCCCTGAACCCCAACCTCAGCAGAGTTGTGGGGAGGGGGCAGTCTCATGTTCCAGGTCCTGTGGTCTTGGAGTCTCCTAGTCTGTGTGATGGAGGAGGATGCTGCATCTCTCAATGTCTGTTACTCTACTTCTGGGTTCATCGGTGGGGCTGCCTGTCCCTCCCTCTAGCCCCTGACATGGGCTCTGAGGGCTCCCTGGTCCTTCCTGCAGAAACTCAGACGGTTACATCGATTTGGAAGAGTTGAAGATGATGCTGCAGGCTACAGGAGAGACCATCACGGAGGACGACATTGAGGAGCTCATGAAGGATGGTGACAAGAACAATGATGGGCGCATTGACTATGATGGTGAGTGGGTAGATGGGCTGGACCCCTTGTCTCCCCCTGCCGCCCAGCCCACACATCTGACCCATGGCTGCACCTCTCTCCACAGAGTTCCTGGAGTTCATGAAGGGAGTGGAGTAGTAATTGACCCTCACCAGAATTGCCTGTGCCCATGCCGACTCCAGCCAGGCCCTGGGATTGGACAGAGGCCAGGGTCCCAGGACCTGAAATTGAACCTGGCCATGTCCTTGGCCCCTGGCCTGCCCTTCCTCCCACCAGTCCTGGACAAATAAATGCAAATAAAGCCTTGTTTCTAGGGCCTGGTTCTGACATTCGGTGGGCTGTGGACTCCTTGCCATGGTCCGCTCCTGTCTTGACAATCGTGTTCAGAACCAGCACTCCACGTGCCTTCTGCAGGGGGTCACTTAGAGTAGATAAAGATTCCTTTGCCCCATCCCCACTGTCTGTTGCCTGGGCCCCTTCTCCTGTGGTTTAGTGTTAGGAGCCTGTGGTGGCCCAGGTATCTGCATTTTAACAAGCTCTCAGTGGACTCATGGCACTAGTTTGAGAGCTTTGGGGTCCTATACCTGGAGAGCAGAGTTAGCTGCAATACTCAGCTAGAGTCTGGGCTCCACTTAGTACAGTAACCCCAGTTACGTGTCCACTTTGGCCGGGGCAAATCTGGGCACTGGGGAGGCCCAGCTGGCCTTCTCCCTTGGATTTCCCACCAGCAACATGGACTCTCAGGGATGGAGAGGCCTAAAGTTGTCTCTACCTCCTCTGGCCCACGTGCTAAGTGAGGACCCTGAGACCCAGCAAGGCACAGGGACCTGTCAAGATGTGTCTGGGCAGAGTTGAGGGCTTTGTGTGATGGACCAGGTCTAAATGGGTGTGATTTTCAGCCCCTGTGAGTCTAGAGACAAGTCTCCTTCAGGTGGCTCAATTTTATCCCCTGACAGGGAGTCAAGGATCAAAGCCTGCTGGCTCTCAGCTCAGTGAGGATGTCCAGGCCAGAGCCATTGTGGCCTGGGAGAGAGGGGGCTGCAAGTGAGTGGACAGCTGCCAGTGCCACACATAGTCCAGCAGAATACTGGCAGCTGTCCATGCCCCACCCTGCCTGCCCTCAGCCTCCCCACCTGTGCTTCAGCCTCGGCATTCCCTAGACAGGCCTGGCATTCCAGAGACAGTCTTGGAATTCTGGAGAGATCAAAGTTGGCAGGAGCTGCCTGATCCCTGAGGAGGCCTGGGGAATGAGTAAGGAGAGGGGTCACCTCAGGCCTGCCCTTGGAGCACTCATGAAGACCCTGAGCTGTCCAGGAGTAAAGACATGTCAGGGAAGAAGGTGGATGCACACTATTCACTTACTGTCCGCCCAGGGTCCTTGGCTAGTGCAAACAGTTTGCATTTGACTACTAATCTAAAGATTAGCAGTTTGAATCTACTCAGTAGCTCTGCAGGAGAAAGGCCTGGTAAACTCTTTTCCTGAGGATCACAGCCAGGAAAGCCCTATGGAAACAGTTCTACATTTACAAGTGTGGGTTGCCATGAGTTGGAACCAACTTGGAGACAATGGATTTGGGTTTGGGTTTGGGTTTACATTGTAAATTGTGGAATTTACTGTCAACTGGAGGAGGCAGAGTGAGAGGTGAGGGCCAGAGGAAACCAGCCTGGTTCTGTAGAGGGAGGAGGTGACACTGAGCTGAAGTCTGAAGATCCACAGGGAACCGGTCAAGGAGTGTCTTGGGAAGTATCTCAGTAGCAGAGGGGTAGCCACAGGGAATGTAGGAGAAACTAGGCCTGTAAGAAGTGCAACCAGCGCAAGGTGAGGGGCTCGCAGGACCACAGAGAGAAGGCGGGACTGGGGGGCAGGGAGCAGGAGGCTGGTCAGAGGCTGGGGCAGGTTCTAGGTGGAGGGTCTGGTGGCTCGGGCATAGTGGGAGTGAGACAGTTGGGAACAGGTACATGGGTTCAGGGCATGCGTACCTGGAATAGAATCAATAGAACTTAATGTAGGATGCGATGTGAGGTGTGAGAAAGCAGGGAGTCAATAGGGAGCCTTAGATTTTTGGCCAAAGAACTGCCATTTCCTGAGAGATCGATGACCCGAGGGAGTTCATGGACCTCAAGGTGTTGTGTAGTGGAGGTTCCTGTTATGTTATTTATTTCTTGGAACAATTTTTAAATTTTGTTTGTAATAATTCCAGACTGGCAAAAATGTTGCAAAAATAGTACAAAGAACTCCCATTTACATTTCACTCAGCTTCCCCAAGTGCTAACATTGAACCTAACGACAGTCTGAGGGTCAAAACCAGAAAACGGACACTGACACGCACCATTAACTTACTCAGATTTTGCTTCTTGTCCCCGAGCCAGGATCCAATCTAGTAGCCCACATAGGACCGAGTCACCCTGTTTCTTCTGTCCTCTTCAGTCTGGGATAGTTTCTCAGCCTTGCCTGGTGTTTCACATTCTTGACACTTTTGACCAGGAATGTTGTAGAATCTCACTCTGTTTGAGTTTATTTAATGATTCCTTAGGATTAGATTCAGCTGATGCAGTTTGGGCCTGGCTATCTGGTGTGGTGCTGCGGGATAAAACATTGGATCCCAAGGTTGGTGGTTCAAACTCACCAGTCACTCTTTGGAAACCCTATACAGAGTCCCTAGGAGGAAGAACTGACGTGACAGCACTTGACAACAACAATCACTGAAGGAGGCAGTGGTAGAATTCTTGCCTGCCAGGTAAGAGGTTCAGTTCCCAGACAATGTACCTTGTGTCACCACGGGTGAGGGCTTGCATTTTGCTATGATGTTGAATAGGTTTCCCTGGAGCTTTCAGACTAAGAAAGAAAGGCTTGTTTATCTAATTCTGAAAATGAGTCAATGAAAACTCTATGGCTCACAACTGTCCAATCCACAGCTGATTATGGGATGGTGCATAGGGTCGTAATGAGTCAAGTTAGGGACCAACAGCCAAAACGTCACAGAAGAGAAGAGAAGGATTTTCTTTTGTCCATGTCAAAGCTGGGATGCCTCTGAGATGTGCTGTTGGAAATGTCACTCCCAGACCATGAGGCCAGTGCTAAAGGAGATGGCAGAGCAAACACTGGACTTGGGGGTCATCAGAGGGAGAAGTCCTTTCTGGAGTGAGTGTGCACAGAGAGACGGTCACGCGCTAGACACTGGGCATCCCAAATGGACAGTTAAGGGAGAAGATGTGGCCAGGGGATGGGAGTGACCATGGTGAGTGAGGGGCCACGGGAGGGGGGAGAAGGAAGAAGACATTGATGACAAGTAGCCCTGGGGTTGGAGCACTTGGAAACTCTGAGGATCTGGCCACCTGGATGAGGGGCTTTGGTGATGCAGTGATGCAGAAATCCAACTGGAGAAGGCCAAAGGAGGGTCTGAGGTAAAGGGGAGATGGGTGTGTACAATGCTGGTGATGTTTTCACATACACAGGGAAAGTGGTAAAGTTGAGGGGGGAAATTCAGAGTCCAGAAAAGCATATTTAAGGGGTGAGGATAAGGGAATGGCTTGTATGCTGATGATTGTGACCCCTTGGGGTGAGGGGTTGATGTGAGATACAGAGGCAGAACTGTAGAGGGAGGTGCCAGGCCTTTGAGGAAAGTGTATGAGGGCCTGATTGTAGCATTGAGCCCAGGATCCAGACTGGACCAGGAGATAGAGGGGACTTGAGACAATGAGAGGACAGGCCAATGGGTCTCAGTGCATGAAGAATCATGGCAGGGGTTATGGAGAGGAAGGGAAGTCCAGAACAGAGAAGGGAGCATGTGTGTGCCTAGGGTTGGGAGAAGGGAGAACTGTCAGAAAGGGGCATGTCCTGTCCTCCCTTCACTGGCTGTGGGGGTGGGGAGTACCAGGAGATTAATGTCCCTGTTCACAATTGTAAGTTCCTGAGGACACTGTGGGAAAAAGTTTGGCAGGGGTAGAAGTGTGAGGGAAGGCTGACCAGGAGGCCCATCTCCTGGAAGCTGCTGAGACTTCATAGGAGGGAACCCCAGGGGATTGTCCTAATTTTTTCTGCTCCAGCAACAAGAGCCTGGAGGCATCCATTCCTTCCTCCCAGGCAATCCCATCCAGAATCCCAACTGGAAGAGACTGAGGTATGCATGTCACACATGTATATGACCATTTACAAAAGCATTTCACTTGTCCTTGTACCAGTCTCTCATACTCCCTTTCATGCGTCACTTAGCTCTCCATTTCCGGACTGTACTGTTCTTTGCCTGTATAGTGCCCTCAATGAAACCTCCCTTGATTTTCTCCATCAGAGATAATCATAAGAGCATCTCTCACTGTCCTTGCCTCTCTGCATTCTGCCTCTCTGCTGCCCCCGAGAGGCTGCATTTTCTGCTGGGTAACTTTACTGCTCATCCCTGGGGCAGTTTGGGGGCATTCTGCAGTCACTATTTTGTCCACCAGATGGCATAAAATGATCGTGATTGGGCCTCTTGGTCCCAGGCATCAAAGCACCGTTGGGGTCTGTTTCTACCAGCAGTTTAGCAAGCAGAGGGCTTTAGAGAGAACCCTTAATTCTCAAACTGGGAAATTGAGATCCTGACAGAAAGAGAATCTGCCTGAGGCTACACAACAAGCCAACAGTAGAATACATGCTCTCAGCTCTTGCCTTGAGTGTCTCCAAGCAGTGGACAGTGGGCTGTCTCCACACCCTGCCCCATAGGAACCTGCCTGGCAGACAACCTTAGCTGGGGGGTCTAGCTGAGCTGAGACCCCCAGGGTGGGTTGGCAGGCTGAGGAGTGGTTAGGCTTTCTGCCCACAGCTGGTGGCCACATGCTGGCTAAATGGCTGTCCAGCTCAATCTCCACCCAGAAATTGGCCCCCCACCCAGACTATGTGCCAAGACTTCTCCCTGGGAAACTGAGGCAAAGGGGCTTCACTCCACCATAATGCCAGGATACAATCATCATCACATTAGACCCTCCACCATTTTATAAAGCCCAGTCACACCCAAGGTTGTGTCTGGACTCTGGCCCTAGAAGGGGGAGACTGAGACCCAGAGAGGGAAGAGCCAGGGGTAGGAGTGAGTTGAGTCCAGCCCCTCACTCACTCACTCCCTGGTCAGGGTTCCTGGGAGGAGGATGTATGTTGCATGGAGATGGGGACAGGAGGTAGGGTTTTAGGTCCCTGAGCCCTTCTCATGCTGCCTCCGAGATTGGTCTGTTCCCCTTCCAGAGATGATGGGAGCAAAGATGAGACTCCAGTGCCCTCACAAACCCCAGAAGCCAGGGAGGGTCCCAAGATGGGACAGGCCTATTCTGTAGCCTAGGCCAGGTCTTTGAGCTATGGGAGCTGTAGATTTCAGGGAAGGCAGGAGGCTCCTTCACTTGTTCTGGTATTAGCCCCTCAGCCTTATTTCCCCCTTGGCCCAACTTTTCTTGACCATCCCCCACCCCTTAGCATTCAGCACACTAGAAGTAGTAGGGAGAGGAGCTCCACCCCTCCCACTGGAAAGATCACTAGCCTATGAGGAGAGAGTGCTGGGGAGAACCCATCACTCAAGTGGAGACGCTTCAGGCCCTGAATTTCTAGGAGGACTGAAAGAAGTGGGGGCAATAGTAGGACATGTGTGTGTAAAGGATCCCTTCTTGTCATGGGGTGAATCCTGTCCCCTGCTGTTAAACCAGCCTACGGAGTGGAGCTGGGACAGGGATGGGTAAATGTTGGGGGAGGGCTGTGAGATCTGGAGGCCAGACAGGGACAGTCTGGGTGGGGAATTCAACTCTTGCCAATTCCAGATCTGTGAAGTGTATCCAGACCTCAAATCTCTGCCCAGAACATGAGGCCCCTTGGGCTGGGAGTATCCTCCCTCAGATTGCTTGGGCCCTGCTAGGCTTGGTAGGGGACCTGGCCCAAGCTTCAGGGGGCTGGACCACCCTAATATGGGGGACCTGGGCCCAGCGTCAGTTTGTAAGGGTCTCTGTCATGGGCACTGGCAGAGTAGGGCCACACAGGAAGCAAAACAGCCCAGGTAGACCCCCACCCAGCTCATCAACTTCTGACCTGTGACCCTTGACCCCCTGCCAGGCTACCTCTTCCCTGTCATTCTGCTGGATCTGGGAATCTGGGTGCCTTGACGTCTCTCTGAGAAAGCCCCACCACTACCCCTACTGGGAAAGTTTGCCCAATACAGAACCTACCAACCCAGAACCAAGGCATCAAACAGAGGGACCAAGGAGGTGGAGGGAGAGGCTGCAGGTGGATGGTGGCCCCTAGCCTCCTTCCCGCCTCCTCCCGCCTTCCTGGCCCCGGACGGGGTGGAGTCACTGCCTTATAAATGGCAGGCCTGGTGGCGACAGAGCAAACTGCAACCAGCCGCGGGACCAGAAGCCGTCTCCACAGGCAGGCGGCCAGCAGTGCCCTTGGTCTGCTAGCATGGCCCCCTTGGTCTGGGTCATCTGCTGCCTCCTGGGGTGCCTCCTGCTCTGTAGGGGCAGCCCTGGTCCAAGTGTGCCCCGCCTGCGGCTCTCCTACAGAGGTACTGGCCAATATACCCCATTCCTAATAGGAAGGCTGGGAGCCCAGACAGGTCCTGGGAAATTCAACCAGGGTGGGGGTTGGGGGAATGGAGACAGGTAGGGTGAAAACCTGAGGGGGAGCTGCTGAAAAAGGAGGGAGGTGGATGGAGACCCTGAAAGACCCCAGTGGAGATGGTTGCGGGGAGCTGAGGGATGGAGAGGGGGATGGAAAGTCTCTGGAACAAGCTGGGAATCTGTGTGTTGTGTTGCAGCTAGCTCAGGTCTCCTCTGAATCTGAGGACATGGTCCGTGGGAAAGGTCCTTGAGGTAGATTCTTCTTGGGGAACTCAGAGGGGTGATTATCTTCCCCTGGGAACCCTAGTCAGGGAAGGGGACACAGGCATGCCCTGGGAACCCTGAGGGGAGGGGGCAAGTCTCCATCCTAAGGAGTCTAAGGGGGTGTTTGGGGAGAACATGGTTCTTCCCTGGAAGCTGTATCTTCTTTTTAAGGAGGAGGAAGACTGTGAGACTACAAGAACAAATTAAACTAGGGAAACTAGAGGTGCTTTCAGTCAAGGGAGGCTTCCTGGAAGAGGCTGCTAATGAGTATTAGGGGTATAGTGGGTGCTGGACTGGGGCCTTCCCAAGGGTGGCCACCACCCCTTTCCTGCCAGACCCCGCTGCCTGTCCCCTTGTCTGCCCAGTATCTCCATATTCTTGGCCAAGCTTCTCCATATCACAGTCCTGGTCCTGGCCCCAGTGTCCCCAGACACCCTAGGCTCCATCCCCAGGCAGAGTCTATGGAGGAGGCGTTCCTTTTGGGCCACATCCCTGCACCCCAGCCTGGAGCTCTGCTCAGCCATACCAGGTTTCTCCCACATCATGTCTTTATCGGGCATTCCCTTTGCTGGAAACACTCTTCCCAGCTTGTCTTCCACTCCAACTGAGCCAACCTTGCTTGCTGCTGGGTCTCAATGCCCCTTCCTCCTGGTTCTCCACACTTTGCCCAGCTTGCTGCTATAATTTCTGCCAAGGTTAGGGAGGGCTCAGGTGAGGGGGTGGGAAGATGTTAACCGAGGAATGGAGCAGTAGGGGCAGGCCTACCTGGAGGCTCAGAACCTCTTGCTTCACCGCTCCAGGAGTCATTCTCTCGAAACTCTCCGGCTGTCCTGTGGATGGAGACATTTTCCAGATGTGTATGTGTGTACTGGGTGGGACTGCACAGCTGGAGTTTTCTACTTCTTCTTCAACCCCTTGGCTGGGGAAATGGACTGAGCACATGCCTTGACCCTCTCCCTCTACTCCCTCCCAGACCTCCTGTCTACCAACCGCTCTGCCATCTTTCTGGGCCCTAGGGGCACCCTAGACCTACAGGCCATGTACCTGGATGAGTACCGGGACCGCCTCTTTCTGGGGGGGCGAGATGCCCTCTACTCTTTGCGGCTGGACCAAGCATGGCCAGACCCCAGGGAGGTGAGCAGAAGGGTGTTGGAGGGAGGGAGGGAGAACTTGTCTAAGAGCCTCCAACAGACTGACTCTGAGCTAGGCCTCCCAAAGGGATGCTGTTGGGAAAACTGAGACTGTGAGGTCAGGGGAGCTCCCTGAGGTCAGCCAGACTGTGTTTCAGGTTCTGTGGCAGCCACAGCCAGGACAGAAGGAAGAATGTGTTCGCAAGGGAAGGGATCTCTTGGTGAGTGCTGATGGGATAACTGCTACCCCCCACTCCTGGCCCCCCAGAGACCCTGGGTTGTGTCTGCTGGGACATTTGGGACGGATTCTCCTCAGACTCACCCCACCCTCTCCCCCATCTCTACTAGACGGAATGCGCCAACTTTGTGCGGGTGCTGAAGCCCCACAACCGAACCCACCTGCTGGCATGTGGCACGGGGGCCTTCCAGCCCACCTGTGCCCTCATCACAGTAGGGCATCGTGGGGAGGTGAGCCTGGGGTGCCAGTCAGGGACTGGGAAGCAGTGACATTTCCTTCCAGTGCCTGAATGCTTCCCATTGAGCTGGGGGGGCGGGGTCAAAGGCCTCTGGTAGCCCCAGAGAGGGACAGGGGCTTGAAAGATGCCTTTGTG